TTGCGCCTCCCAGCGTTCCTGCTCCCCACCCCCAGTCAGGAGAGCATCCCATTGATGATACAGTAAAATTTTGTTTTTCTAATTGCAAATACACCATCCATGAATGTACAATACTTATTTCCTTAATATTCTTTTTCAATATATTTTTTAAATTTGTGTACTGTCTTTGCACTACATACTTTTGTGCACCTTATGTACCTCGCTTCTGTATACATACAAATTTCCAGCTGGTATCAATAAAGTTTATCTAATGTTAGAATAAATAATGCTAGGACATATTTCACAGCTAAAAAATTCAGGAAATGGTAGTGCTTCCAAATGACACCATTTTGTATGGCACAGCCAAGGCTTAACACCTCCGACTCAAAAGACTCAAAAAGGTGTCATCCATCTAAATCACGTGTGGACCTGAATGAGCCTTGACGCCTGGCCAATCACCTTGCATCATGCCCTTTTCTCCTCCGAAATTACTCTGTGATTATTAATAAGCCTTTACAATTACAACCACAACATTTCCATATTAACATTCATCATGATTGCTACTAATGATAATCGCAACAGAAACTGCAACAAAAATGAAAAAGAATTAAAAAAAAAAAAAAAACGTGAATTCAACAGCGCCCCTGATTCACACTCTAAATTGCATTAGTCCACTGAGATTTCATTAGCCTACATCGGTGATATTTTGGAAGGTTTATTGCGGGAGCAAAAGTGGTATGTTTTCAGATTTGAGCCCAGGGAGGGGTATCGGCTACATCAAGTCCATTGCTGTTTTTCCAGCAAAAAATAAATAAAAAAAGGAAAAACCCATTGAAGTCTAAATTAAAGCTTTCAGTTGCCATCTTCTGTCATTTGAATTTTCATGTTGGCAATTGCTTATCATAGAGGACAGCTCTGAGCTGCAGTACAAAGTAGTTGTTATGGAGACACGGCAGATGAAAAAGTGCTCTTGTGCATTCTAATTTGCTCTTGCACACATCGGTTCTTCCGACTGTAGCGCTCAGACGTTTATTCCTCCTTCATTGTTATTCACCTGAATGAATTAGCTCTCATTTACATCACATTTCCTCAGAAACTGTTTTCAATGAAGGACTTCGAATAGGTACAAAGGAGAGCTACGACAACCTTTAAATCTGTCCGCTTTTTCTGTTATCATGGTGGTATTTAAGGATTTACATTTTTTAAACCAGAACTTGAAGGCTGTCAGTCACTCACGACACGGTAGGAATCCCAGATCAGCAGCTCCATTGAGAGTTTATTTTGGCAGTGGATGCCGCGTTTTGTGTCTACGTGTATCCCAATCACCACAACATGTACATTTTGCGGTATTCTGCAACTGCTCCCAGCTACACCATATGGGCCAATGAGGAGAGCTGAACATCCTTGGTGAAACACACATTCCATTCAAAACAAAAGGCGACCAGAAGGTAAAGCGCACACGTGCCCACTGGCCTGGCTGCAGTCCTGTGCGTCAAGTCAGCGCCGAAGCGGCCCAGCTCGAGCACCTCCTTCCTGCTGCATCTGCCTTATTCTGCCCTCTGTGTCAGATGGGAGATAATTGGCCCTTAACGAGCTGCCCAGGCAGCCGCATCCGGGGCACATTGCTGTAAAATGGCAGGAAGTCAGTAATGCGACGACAGCATCAAGCATGCCGTGATCCCACAGAAACCATCCTCGGCAGAGCCAAACACTCAATGGAACCCCCCCCCCAAACTGCTTGCAGGGTCAGGACCTGGCAGAGCACAGCAAAACAGCATGGAAAATGACAAACGACAGGTCCAACCCCAGGGCCTACGGCAGGCCCACCTCCAAAACAGAAACACGGCACAGTGAATGCACACACACACAGACACACACACGTCTCCATATATGTGTGTGTGTGTGTGTGTATTCACTGCCGTGTTCCTGTTTCTGAGTTGGACTGTAACCCACATATGTATGTGTGTCATACATCGGGTAAGTAAAAAAACCAAGATATGCAACTGTACATCCTATGTATACAAGGGTTAAACTGGCAATGAAAAGGCAGCCAATCACTTAACCATTTCTTAGCTTGTACAGGCATGATTGCTTTCCTTTGTGACAGCAAATGGTTGTACTGCGGTTCCCCATGAGGACACATGGGGACATCTGGTGGGGAAGAGTGACAATATCTCCAGAAGCATCCTCTACCACTCCTACAGCCAGCCACGTGCTTGGAACGAACATAGGAATTGCAGAGCAAATGAGAATCACCTATAAGAATTTATTTCCCCTGCCAAGACAAGGATGGAGAAGCTTCAAAACAAGGGCTCTATGTGGCATGACAAGCCCAAATTCTGGCATATGTGAGCGAGTGGAGTGACGTCGACCCTTTAGCTGTCACGGGGAATCAGCCCCAACATAAAACAATGGAATCACCGAGGCAGATGTGCAAACAAACTTGGAAGAGGCGGCCAGGCGAGGAAATGAACATCCCAAAATACAAACAAGTTTCAACCGCTTGGGTGCTAAATTTATTCCAGTGTTAAAGTTCCTCCCTCAACATGTGCTCACATCATTTGTAAAAGAGTGATGAACGATTAATCTCAGCAATTGATTGATTTGCTGGATGGGGAAGAGGGGGATATGGAGAGATCATCCTTAACATCAAGTACAAAAACACAAAGTGATATGAATGCAGAAATCAGAGCGGCCCACTGAACACAGACTCCCGAGGCTTGGCCTCCCAGCTTTTCCTGTGAGATGTGATCCTCTTTGACATGGTCTAGAACATATACCTAAAGAACACAACACTATCATTTAACATGCTGTTCTACCTAAATACATAAACAGAAAGATAACCAAAGAGGTTAATTATGTTATGAATGAGAATGGACATTTTTTGGACTTTTTTGAAAAAGAAACAAAAATTCACGCATACAATCACTGAAAAGAGAAAAGTGAAAGGACAGTCTAACGAGGGGAGTTTATGATTACAGCCCTGAGCTGAAAGAGGGCGAGGCAGACGGCACATGGGTAACTGCATTGCAGGCGTGGCCAACCGGATGCTGTAACTAGCAGCTGCGTCGACTGCCATATGCTGGCGGCAGAGAGACCCGCCGGACAAAGAAACACGGAAGCTTCTCAGACTGTGAACATAAGACAAGAGATGAAAACAGCGGAGAGAACAGAAGGAAGAGAGGGAGGGATGTAAATACCGGACATGAAATCCTATGACTTTCATTATTGGCCTGCCATAAATAGACACTCCGCAGTATGCTTTACTGGTTTTGCTGGTGTATTTAGATATGCCGTGCCTAGACTGTACTAACCAAGCTGACTGATACCACTATAAAATCACTCTTTGTAATAACTGCTCTCAAGTCCATATACCAGCAAGTAACCACCTAAATGACTTTAACAAACAGACAGGCAGTGCCAGAGTCTGCTGGGGCGTGGCCAGGGGAGAGTGGCCACCCCACGCGTGAACGCAGAGGTGCTCCAGGTGCAACTCATGGTAACTAATTACGTTGCTGACCTTGTGGCAGAAATGTGACACAGTTATGCGAATGCAGCCAGCCATAGCAGCAACAGCTCGAAGCACAAGTATCTGCTATCCTGTGTAGGCCAGGCTTCCAGCTGCAACTGTGCATCAGCGAGTCACAATAAAACTACGTATGTTTTGTGATGGGCCAGTTTGAGCCAGAGGGTGGAGGTGGGTTCAAATCACCCATTCATAGGTCTTTCGGATCTGGGATGATGGATCTTCAGAAGACATCCATTCCTAAACCCGCTCAAACAATGGGCTCACAACTAGCTGGGGTTGCAGTCTTACAGAGGGCTGAGGACTGCAGCGATGCATTGAGCCTGCGCACGGGTCTCACCCTTTCATGCCAAACACCAAAGATGTGTCTGCGCCGCAGCCTGTCGATTGACGGGGAAGACAGTGACCTATCAGAGACTCTGTCAGCACTAATCCCTGGTCCTGCATCCTGCCACAGACTGCGCTTAAAGCAGCTGATAAGGCAGCCCGAATAGCAGAGGCAAAGACTGATACAGGTCCAAGCACGAAGCATTTGGTGCACGGTAATCAAAACAGGGATAACCCATTTCTCCTACTTTGGAGTTTTGTGTTTAAATTAATGTCATCGAACATTCGGAAATGGATCATAATAATAAAAAAAAAAAGACGGAGATAAATGAATGTAGATATCCTTCTAGAAATATTTTGATGTTTCATGGAGAGCGGGTAACTGCTGGCCTGAACGTTAACCGGCTGAGGAGGCTCAGATGTAAACTGGTTCAGTGTTTGTGTGGGTTTCAGGTGTTAGTAAGTTCTAAGAATCCTTTGGCTTTATAAAATTAATCTGCGATCAAAGATGTTAATAATGTGCTACTTGCTCTTCATGTGCACTTAACAAAATAAATGCAAATGTAAAATCTTCAAACCAAGAAAATATTTTCCCCCACAAGGCAATAAAAACATAAGGATTTTGCAACAGCAAAAAATGGCCAATCAGACCATAATTACACTTGACATTTTCCTGCAATGGTCATGTGACGGCCACGGCGGTCTCTTCAGGGGCTGTTGTGAAATGTTAACATTTCACAATTGCTGCAATTAGAGCAGATTTGCATTGAGGTCTGATAGTTTCTTCACATTTGAAATGCCACAAATGAAATTTCTCCTTCTCTGGACCTGGGGGGGACCTCCCATAAGAGTTCTTGCGTAAGCCTAAGAGTCAAAAAGTGTGAGAGTCACACCAGATGCGTGTGAGTGGGCAACCCTGCGGATTGAACTTTCTGGGTGCAGAAGTTTTGGACGTGATAACCCATCCCCCTTTTGCTGCCATCATGGTGCCAAATATTGAGACCAGCTTTTCTGTAGTGCTGTATTGGACCATTTTTTCTGGCCCAGGGCCAGAGCATGTGGAACTAGTTAGTTTCACCGAGTTGGTGAAAATGAAGCAACAAGGAGTGTGCCACCAGGGGGCAGACTTGGCCAGCCACCCTGCTCCAGCCAGCCCTGATTCACTGACCGTCTTGATGGAGCTCCTCGTCTTCTCCTTCCACTCCTCACTGCTGAGCTCCAAGGTGCAGTGCACGTACGTCTCCCGGTCATATGAGCCCAGGATAAATAGCCTGCAAGGGGCAGAGACACACCCAAGTGATGCGGGATCAGTCGCACAACAGCTAATAGCACAGAAGTATTCCTGCTTTATAAATCCTAGGAAAAACCACCACATCCCTTATTGATTTCTCTGCTAAAACCAGCAATTACCAGTGTGTCATTACTGAATCCTTACCAGCTATCAAAGCGGAGGCTTGAAAATGTTGTGAATGGTAGCTGGAAAAGTCATAATGGGATAATAAAAAATAGTGTAAAACATTCATAGAAAGTGTATACTAGCTCCAGTAAAACTGCGAGTGGAGCATTAAAATAGTCATCTGCTGACCCCTACAGGCTTGTCTTTGCAGGAACTGCTGCAAGTAATGATGGTATTTTATTTTAACCAACAGCGAACTAACTCACTGCACCTATTCAGGTGATGAGCACAGATTTAATTAGTAACATAAAACATGGAAAATTTAGACTTTAAAAGCCTTGATTGTAGGTCCTGTCAAGACTCTTGTTTTTCCTGAGACAAGAAAATGGGGGGGGAAAAAAAGAGCATTGTCTCCCCCTAGTGGGCCCATCTGAATACTTGGTCCCAGGTCAGATCAGATGAGACTTACAGAGTGTGTCCATTTTCTTTTTTTAACAGGAGTAAGCAGAGGCTGATTCTGTGTGCAACACGCTACTTTTCCATGTGCAATGACAGAGACGAAGGTGCAGGTATCATCTAACACACTGTGACACATGCAAAGTATGGCACCCAGAGGAAGTCAGCGCAAGCAAGCTAGGCATGAGATCAGTTCCATCATCTTGTGTGACAATGATCAGAACAAATGAAGTCTGCATTTATCATGGGGGCCACATAATCATCACGTATCAACCAATGAGGGCTAACGAAGGAATAAAATCAAAGAGAACCTAAGAGGGAATACAGGGGAGTGCCAGCAGTGTAAGACAAGCCACAGTGGGCTCCAGGCCCCACTGACTGTCTTGGCATGCCATCCGGAGGTGCTACTGCATTATTGATGCGAGCCGGCTGAGTCTGCTTGGGTGGCACAGGCTGCTCTCTGTAGCTTGTGTGAGGACAGATTGCCAGCAGCGCAGTTAATGTTACATGAGGGCAGAATGTGGTGGGCGGGTGCGCTTGGGACACAGGGCATGGGGCCGCGGGGCGGGGGCACGCCAACACACAAGGACAAAAGGCCCATTTTAAGGCTTGTCGCTGGCACGGTCACCAGACAGATCCCATTACTGCGGTACGTAACAAAGTCAGAGGGTGTCCTTTGAGCCACCTGCTTTTTTGTTTTTAACATGTTCGGTGGTGAAGGTTCCTGCAAGTCGCTCCCACCCCAACAAGGCAAACTAAGACATGGCAGAGCTGGGAAATGACACGACAGTGTAGCAATTAATATTCAATAACGGGGAACAGTCCAGAGAGTTAGTGGAACTGAGAGAGGAGAAAGAGAGTAAGTACTGTTGGATGAAAAGCTGAGAGTGTGAGGTCAGATTTCTAAACAGCTGCATATTAATGACTGATTAAATACATAAATACAGTATGTAGGCAGTATTCCTACATTATAATCTCATTACTTCTCAATATAAAACAGACATGCTGGGAGTATTTAAGGGGAGGCTTATAGGGTAATAGGACCCATAAAGCTCCTTCCTGAGGAGGCTTCACATTTCACACTCTATTGCACATGGCGCTGGGCGGCAGTCCAACTGCAGGGACGGAAGATCAATGGCCTTCCTCTCCCCATCAGGCTGCCAGTCTGCTGGTCAGTTTCAATATATTCATCATCACAGTACAGTGATGGAGGTGGGGAGGGGCTACTATGTATTCTAATACAAGTGCTCATCAGCAAACCGCCAACGAACGCACTGGGCCTTAAGACCTGAGACCACAATAGTGGAGATGGACTGCACACATAAATCATCCACACACACACTAACGGCTAAAATGCTAATAGCTAACAGGCTGGTTTACAATATTGGCTATCATGCTAATAGTTTACATGCCAACGGCTACCTCACGCTAACCACTAACACGCTAACACGCTAACAGCTAACATGCTAATGCATATCATGCCAACGGCTGGCTTACCTGCTACACTCCACGAGGGTGACTCTGAGCCGGCCTTCCACCAAGTGGTTGTCATGGACAGAGAGGTCTAGATCAAAGGCTGCGGCCAGCGGAGGCTGCACTTGGAACGGAAAAAACGGTTTGTATCTGAAGAGAAAACAGAAGACAGGAGGAGGAGTTAATGACCAACCAGAATACACAGACTTAATTATTTACCCCACTCAAGGTACACAAGAAAAACTGACAAACATTAATATTTTCAAATCAGCTAATGATATGCTAATGATAATAGAACATCAAATTGGGCATTTGTATGGTGCAGCAGTGACAAGATACATACACAAGAGGGTGCACCATAGCAAATACAGTAGTACCTTAGAACTGAAATTTAATCTGTTCAGAACTCCAGATCGAATCCTAAAATGTTTGAGTTCTGATCGAATTTTCCCCATAAGAAATAATGGAAAACCAATTAATTGGTTCCCGGCCCCAAAAAATTACACCTAAATATGTTTTTTAGCATTTAAACACAAAATGAACCGGATAAAACAAGAAGAGCATATACTGTACTAGACACATCCAAGCACATTTTAAAAAAAGCAGTAATTTGTAAAGTAAGAAAATAAATGTATCCAAACAATGTGTCCTGCCCCAATCGTCCGCTCCTTCCGTGTGCCACGCCCCCTCATTAACCCCGTGTGGAATCCCTGTGTGATCAGCTGTTTCTGGCTGTTGTCATTAGTCCTCTGTATTTAGTCCGCGTTTCAGTTTGTTTCTCCAGTTCAGTCATTGTATTGGCCGTCTGCATTTTGCCTGCCATACCTGTAATTAAACTCTGTATTCCCCGATACCCTGACGTCTGCGCCTTTGTCTCCGTTCTGTCCCTGCTCGGCACGACAATATTATTATAATTAAATGTATTAATGGTTTATTATTAATATTAAAATAATTAATAAGAAATCTTTATTTTTAAATGTATTTTATTATATAATAATAATTACTGTCACTGTCTATCATTGCCTAATTGTATTTTTACTGTCTAAATATATGTATTCAGCTAGTGTAAACATGCACGATGCTATCACAGCGAATGCGAGGCTGAGACTGAAGCGTTACCCTTTGTTTCCGCTGAGAGACGTGACGCGCGACTCATTTCCCCGCGCGTACAAGTTCTTAGGTTCGGCGTTTACGGTTTGACTTCTGAGATTCAGATCGAGCTCTAGGTAAAAAATTTTTTAACTAGTTGGTTCAACTTTTAAGAAAGTTCTAATGAGTTCGAGAACTGAGGTACCACTGTATTTTGACATTGCAGTAGTATGGTAAATATATCAACAAGTCATCCTTTCCTTTTAATCTGAGATGAGTGCACCTCCTGCTACTTTCAGGGAACATGTCAAAGGTGTTGAAGTTAAGAGAACAGAGATGTTTACATGAGCCTTCCCAGGGCTGGCCAGCTAGTCATTACTAGCCAGATGGCTAATCCAATGCATTATTTACCAACAGCATTGTCACAAAGACAGCTGAGCAACTGTGGAAGAATGAGAGAGCTGCCTTTTGACTTCAGATATTCAGTTCCAGCTGCAGGAACTTTGGCATTCTGTAGCCAAAAACACAGCAAGCTGATAAGGATAACAGCCTGACACTTTTGGGAACATCCACAGTACTTTATACTGCAAAGGAATAAAAGGAAAAAGTCTCTTTTGACGGTAAAAAATAGAAAGAAAAAGCATACAGCACTGTGCATCTACCCATGAGTTACCAACAACATACCTAAATAAATTAAAATACAAAACAAAAAAAATCATGTATAATCTCAACTGCTGCTACAACAACTTGCTGCTCCTCATTATTTTTAGGGTATCCAACAACAGAGTCTAGAAAGTCACATAATGAACGATCCCTGGTGCCTGCTTCCCTGAAACACCCCCAGGCCCAGGGGCACCACTAAAAATTTTGGGCCCCATGAAAGCATATCATATTGGACCCCCAGCCCAGGCCAATCCCAGGCCAATCCTTGGTCCCAATGTTACCCAGGGGCTTTTGAAATCATCATAACTTCACAGAGCCCCTGCCAGGACCCCCTCAGGGTGACAGCAGATGGACCCACAGAGCAGGGGCTGAATGGGCAGTCAGCTGAGCCGAAAGGGAATGACAGAAAAAACAGGGGCAAGATCGCACAACAGTCAAACTCCCACAGAGTCACATGGCTGCAAACATGGGCTTGATCAAAGGCTTAGAAACAGCACCCATGGAATTGGGCACCAGCCCGGTGTCAATGCTGAAGACAGGTCTGCATATCTCACTCGGCCTCTTGTCTGCCGAGCCCCATCCTTTCCTTGGGGTGCCACGTAACCAACAGGAATGTGGCTCCATTTCCCCATCCCCCTCCCAGCCCTAACCCTACATGAAGAAAATCAGGAAGGCCTCTTTCTTCTAGGTGTGTGGACTTTAAGTCAAGGGAGGTGATGCTACGATTTTACAATTCCTTGGTAAGACCCCACCTAGAATATTGTGTGCAGGTTTCCACAGGTGGAAATTAGCGGGAGAACATTTTAAAATGGATTTGAGAAAGCACTGTTTTACACAGCGTGTAGTTAGAGTATGGAATATGGAATAGTCTCCCAGTTAGTGTAGAACAAGCTAAAACTTTGGGTTCCTTTAAATCAGAGCTAGATAAGATTTTAACAACTCTGAGCTATTAGTTAAGTTCTCCGCCAATGGGCTTGATGGGCTGAATGGCCTCCACTCATTTCTTACTCGTAAATTTCTTAATGTTCTTTGCAGGTACCATCACCAGACCATCTTTATGCTCTTCATTGCACCAATTTCCCTTGGCCGAGGCCCACACACAGGGCAGACAGAGGCCACGGTGTACCGCCAGCCAAAGCTGGGTGGAGGCCACCGGGATGCTCTGGTGCTGACACCCTGCACTGATCCTTAAAAGTAATGGGGCCTTCAGGATCAGAAGCACAGTGCAACGTGAGGAGCAAGGTTACTTAAAACTCCCCAATCACACAGACAATATTATCATCAACAGCATATGCACAACAATTTATGGCTAAATATAGACTGAAAATTGTGCCAAAATTACACAGATGTATGAAAGATAAAAAAAAAAAGAAATAATATACACAACCTACAAATGCTCAAACCTAATACATATTTCATTTCATTTGTTGTGGTCGACAGAATGTCTGCCAAGCTCCGGAATATTACGATAAGATCTTGACTCCTTATGGAACTCCATTTTACCCTCTCATTGTACTTGCTGGGCTGCCTTCCCGGGCAGAGGAAGTGACCTCACTGAACAGAGGCGATGGCCAGGGAAGATATTTTGCAAGAACAGTGTTGGTGTGTCCACTATCTACACGAGCAAAGCAGGTACCATCTGTCCCTTTCTTTCCAGAACCTAAATGCCCCAGCGGACAGATGGGATAAAGCGAGAGTGGCCAATGGGGTCACGCACTAGCAATGCAATGCTTCTGCGCTTTTGTTTGCACCTGCGGACGGCAGCTATTAAAAATGCATCGCACGCAGCACCCTGGCCGGCCACTAAGCTGACACCGCATCACCTGCCCTAGGGCTGCACTCATGGTGAAAGCACATCCATGTAGCATAAAGAAGACAGCGTACTGTGGTGTGCTGGAACACCATTTTCACCTCTCTCCATCCACCACGTGCTCCCTCAAGGCACCAGCTGTGTCATATGTAAGACTGTCTAGAGCCATGTGGAGTTGCTCCAATAGACCATTTTTTCACAGCAGATCGGATCATGGAACTTCTCAAAAGTTAGCGTTTCCGAAAGTCAGCGTCAAATACTAGCAGCACAATAGAGCTGCAGCAGAATAGACCATTTCTGGGCGCTTTTCCACCACACAAAGTACGGTATTTTCGCTTTTCCATTGACTTCCAGTCGAGTACCAGTACCGAAAGTGCCAAACCAGCTGGGGTACTTCTTCAGTACTTTGGTACTTTGGGGTGGGACTTACAAACATATTTGCTGTTGATTGGTTATGCAAATAGCCTGCCACTGAAACACAAAATACAACCGCCTTCTTTTGAAACACACAGCGAACAGCGAGAAACAAAATAAAAACCAGTAGAAACAAAAATATTTAAAAAGTAAAATGGAAGGATGGACAAACAAGGAAACACAGGCTTTAAATTGCCATATGATCAGATGAACAGATCCAGCGAGATTTGGATGGCATGACTCGAAATAAAAGAATTTGCCGTAATAGCAAGCCGCTTGGAAGAAATGCGGCACACGCGAAACACAGAACAATGCCGCTTGAAAATCAAAAAACTTAAGCAGAACTACAGGAAAGTGAAGGATCATAATAATATGTGTGAATTCAGTGAAATAAATACCTTTATTCATCGCTTTGTGATGATGTCAGTCAGGAGCAGTCATTGATGATGTCAATTGGCGCCGGTAACAGGTTTTACGCCAGTGGAAAACCGACACAAAGGAAGTACCATACTTTTGGTACATTATGGAAGTACCGAAAGTACGGTCCCTGCTGTGGTGGAAAAGTGCCCTTTGATGCACTTTAAAGGGGTACATTATCAAGACCTCAATATCAAGTTAACATAAGCATTAAAAGCATTTTAGTGGATTGACACCCATTTCATTACTAGATTTAAGGTATGATAAGATATGATAAGATATTAGATAAAGTTAGCAACACATAAAATTAACTATAAATGGCCTATTAACTGTAAATTCCATTCTCTATTGGAATTGCTATTTCATCCAACATTGTGGAATTAGAGGAAAAAAATGTTTCTAAAGACCTTTTTCTTTCTTTGTAGGGTGGTGGGCGTTTAGTAAAATATAATATTGGCTCTTGTGATCTCACCTCCCTGGGTTTTGCAAGCTTTTCCCTGTTCTATATTTTTAATAAACAAAAGAATAACTTTCCCAATGGTGTTGTCTTTGAGAAAATGTGTGAATACAGTGTTTTTTGCAATCTTTAGTTACAGTGAGGTTTCTCCTGATGACATGACACAATGGTTTTTTTTTCTCCTCTCCAGGTTATAAACTCTACATTTGTACTCCTTTTCTGAGTGACTGGAGCATGCCCATGCAGCACAGAAAATCAGGGTAGGGACTATATGCAAGAATAGCATGGAGGAAAGGACAC